GTGTGTGTGTGTGTGTGTGTGTGTGTGTGTGTGTGTGTGTGTGTGTGTGTGTGTGTGTTTGGAGTGCTGTTTCCCTCAGTCCACCCAAGGCCATAACTGGAGTACTTACTAATATATAGTGAGTGCACATGCCTCTACTCTTAATGTGTTTTCATTATCACCAGTTTTTCTCACCAATACTTTTTACCCATTATGACAAATCATATTTTAACCTTATACCAACACGTTTGTGATTTACTGCTTGTGTCTCATCCATCTAATTAGACCTGACTATAAGTGTAGACCTAAGATCCAGGTTCAAACTGACCTTTTTTTTTCTTTCTCATTATATCCTATATATTTATATTTACAGTGTTTAATACATCTATTAGACCACCAAAATTAAAAGCATTGGTAATTAACCAAATTGTATTTAATGTTTGTCTAATGGTTAGTCCACCAATGTGTACAGGCTGTTTAATTGAAATGATATTTGAAATGTAAAAAAAGTTGAAGTTTACAAAAAACAACAAACAAACCCTGAAAAACATAATAAGGCTTATTATTATTTGTATGTTGCACTTAATTACTTCTTAATTAATTTCTGACTTTTTTTTCCCCTTCCATATGTTCAGGAGAGAGAAATAAGGAGATGGATGAATGGATGATGGAGCGGTAGATGGATAAATGGATGGGTGGATGGATGGTTGGATGGATGGATGATGATGAATCAGTAGATGATGGATAGATGATGGCTGGGTAGACGGATGTATGTGTGGATGGATGGATAAATGATGGACGGATAGATGATGGATGGATGATGATGGCTGGGTAGATGATGGATGGATCGGTAGATGGATGGATGATGGAACTTTTCATATGAATTTAAAATAGGCAAAGCCAAATAGGAAGTGAAGTCATATTGCGGAAGCTGTGAACTTGTCTTGTTTTATGGTCGACTAGTCTTTTTTATTAGCTCGATTTCTATCTGAAGTAAAGTATTCAAAGCATCAGTGCTTATTTTTGATAGCTGTTGGAGCAATTTAAATATTTTTGACATAAAACTTAGAACCCGAGCCAAATATTTTAGTTCTTAGCAAATAAATCTTTAACAGGTGGTTAACTGGGTCCTTTGCTGGAGGAAAGACTGGTGATTTTGGCCTTGTTTTCCAGCAGGCCAGGGATCAAAGTAAACCCGTTATACAAGTGTTACAGTTCTGTGGCTCTGGCACCTGCCTCGAAACTTGGATTTAATACATGGAGACCTGCAGGTATTTGGCCTTGTGGCTGACTTTAGGGCCTGACTTGCTGAACTAGATCTTGAGACCCAGTTTTGTGTGTTTTGAAATCAAGTCCTGAAAGTGATTTTTAGATCAATCCAGCCATGGCTGTTTCTCTCTGATGCAGCTTCATTTTCACTCATCATTACTGCTACGACTTTGGACAAATGTTGAAATACCAGTCGAAAAACTTCTACTGTGGTTCTTGCTTTCTGAGCAGAGTTTAAAAGGTCAAAAGAAAAGACCGTTCCAGGGAAAGGGACCTTTCTACGCTCTTCAAAAACACAAACCACCTCAAAGATGTTGGAAATACTGGAGAGCAACATCTCAAATAAGTGTAAACCGTTTCAAGATCAGGCAGTTGTGGCATTAAACTAAACACACACACACAAACACACACACTTTTTCTTTCACTGCCCTCATCAGAGTGAGGGAAGGCTGTGGGCAAAGTGCCAGGTGCCTCTCATGTTTGGGAGAGCAAACAGGCTCGTGTCTTTGATGGCGAGGAGATCAGAGCGGGGGACGCATTCTACGTGGCCGCGCTAAGGTCGCCGCAGTGCACACCCTGCTGCCATGTTGTGCTTCGCAGCTAGGCGACCCGGAGTATACACAGTGAGTGGGAGAAGAGTGTGTGTGTGTGTGTGTGTGTGTTGGTTCAACTCCACCAACCAACTCATCGCACACTCGCCTTTGCTTTCCAAGACACACTCACTCCAACTCTGACGTACAGTTTGCAGTTGTCTGAAAAATGGTTAAACCACAGGAACAGGGTCGGAGCAGTGACTCCCAGGCCAAGCAGGAATCTCTCAGCAGTGGTGACAGCACAAACCTTGCCTTGACTTTCTCTGTCTGTCATCATAATCCCTCTCTGGACCAACTTCATGTGTGCTTTGTAGATGTTTTTGTTCTTTACTCAAGATTTCTTTTATTATAATCCTTCTGCTTTATTTGACCAACATATTTAAAAAGAAAAGAAATAAAAACAACCTAAATGGTAACAGCATTAGAAATGTCATTGCATTTCTGGTAAACGTAACGCCAGTGCCAGTTCCTGTCATTTTATATCTAGGGCGCATTTTCTGACTGCTGTGGTTGGACCTTCAGCCTTCTTCTTACGTCCTAGAAAGCAACAGTGACACATGTTTTGCAGCAGTTGTTATCATTTTTTTTTATGACTAAATGAGTGATTAAAAACATCCTGCGTCAGAAATGATGGGCTCATCACGAAGACGTGTCCGATGCCACCGTCTGTTGTCGATGATCAAAAATAAAATAATTAGTGTGATTAAATATTTCTTAATCGGCGGCAACTTTACCAGTTAAGTCAATGCATGTTTTTAATGTTACAACATGTGCGCTTCTGCATGTGTGTTTAGGTTTCGAGGTGTCTGTTTCCTGTGAGATGGGGTAAAGTTTGTTTGTGAGGTGGGGGTATCTAGTTTCCTGTAATAGGGCGGTTGACTTTATGTAAATAAGCTGAGGGCCTCAGATTGGGAGATGACGTTTGGGGGGTTGGGGACTCACACAGACAAGTCGAGTGTGTGACAGAACGAGGTCAGGTCCTGGCTTTCTCTCGATTCCACTGACAGCTGCGAGTCCCAGCAGCTAAAAAACCTCATGACGAAGGGGCGCTACAAGCGTGTCCCACCTCTAGCAGTCCCCCCTCCTCAGCAGCAGGAACCCTGAGCGAGACCCGTGGGTGGACGGTCCCTGGGAGTGGCTGGGCAGCGTTCGGGCTCCATGTGCTCTGTCTGTTCTGACTGCGTGTCTCTGTGTGCCGGCTGTTTGTTGACAGATGACGCGTACCAGAAACTGGCCATGGAGACAATGGAGGAGTTGGAGTGGTGTTTGGACCAGCTGGAGACCATCCAGACCTACCGCTCTGTCAGCGACATGGCCTCCACCAAGGTATGAGAGGCTGCACCTTTCACTGTTTGCTGTTATTGTGTTTCATCATAATGGGGGCAGTTTTGTGCCATCACACTTGTATTTCGAGCAGATAAATCCAAGTCCATGTGTTGCAAGTGTTTATACAAAAAAAGGGCTCCGCTTTTTAGGGGAGCTCTCAAATCTGACTAGCAAGGGAATCTGCAGGAAGCATTAATCCTTCAGCATAATAAACACATGAAGGGCGGTATACAAAATCCAAAGATGCTACTGCTGAACTTAGCATGACCCATCAAAGTAAACAGCGTTAAAAGTTTGAACATAAACAGAACAGTAATGAGGAGGAGATTGGTTTGGCAGAGGGGGCTGAGATGAGTGCTGATTGGATTAAAAGGCCACCAGCTCACTTATATGTCCTATTTATCATCAGATTTGTTTCCCTGAGCAAACATAAAACTCTTCTTGTTGAAAAGATGGTCTAACAAGCAGGTGTGTGTTTTTTCTTGACCGGCTGTGGCTCTCTTTCCATCTTAGCTAACTTTTCCACTGTCCGCTGATTATTCTGTTTCTTCTGTGTCACCGATTGCGTGTCATGTGCAGTGAAGTTCAATGCCTGGTTTTTATGTGAAGAGACAGGAAGTTGAAACAATGGTACTGAACCACATTCAGCTTAATAATCACTTGTTGTATTGCGCTTCCTGTGCTCGTGTCACTGGATTCTCGACATGATATCTAAGAATTATTAGGTGGCATCCATGACTGTGTGAGTCATGGTAAGTTTGCTCACTTACAAAGAAATGGCTGTATCATTTTCATGGAAAGAGATAGACATGCAAGCAAAACATGACTTACTATTTGGTGGTGGACAAACCCTTGTTGGGGTAAGACGTTTCTTTTTGTTGGTCACCAAGTTTGCAAAGATTTCACGAGGGGTTTTGGCCCACTCGTCTTTACAGAAACTCTCTGAATCCTTTAGGTGTTGTGGCTGCCGTTTGGCAACTCGAAGCTTCAGCTTCCTCCACAGATTTTTTAAAAGACTGAGGTCTGAGGCTAGGCCACTCCATGACCTTAATGTGCTTCTTCCTTTCCACTCCTTTGTTACCACACCCCGTGTGGCAAGATACTGAAAGGAGCTCCAGACTGAGGGCAGTTTGGTCATTTTATACTTCTTCCATTTCTGAATAATGAAAGCTCATCAAACGTTTGGTACTTCAGTTCCAGTCTTGAGCATATCTAAGGCTTTGCCTCTGACCATGTCCTTGGTGGTGGCGAGGTTCAAATGGAAGAAACTGGTTCTGTGGACAGGTGTGCTTTATAAACATGCGTTGAGACGAATGATTGATCCTAATCTGTACACATGGGCACGCAGCCAATCTGTGGGAGTCCGAATCCTAGCTGGGTGGTAGGGGATAAAATATTTATTTCACTCACTAACATGCAAATCAATTTAAAACTTTTATGTAATGTATTTTCTCTGGATTTTTGGTTGATATTTTTTGCTTCTCTCCATTAAAACGATACTACCATAAAAATTAGAGACTGTTCGTTTCTTTGGAAACTTACAAATTCAGCAGGGGATCAAAAAATTATTACTCGGTCTATAATTTATTTCTCTGTCATTAGAATCTCTGCTGCTATTACCTTAAGGGCTGTAATACAAAACACATGGTCTCATAATTGCCTCCTTTTGGCCTTTGCATTCAGATGATGTCACGGATATCAAAGCACGGTTTCCCCGTTACGACAAGGTTTTACATCTATTCAGTTTTGTACTTTAAGAATTCATCATTCAGAGAAAATGATCAGACCTCGCCTGCGGCTTGAAGTATCCTGTCAGTCCACAGATGTCTGTTTTTAAAATGGTTGTCGATAGAGATAATGTGGTTGGCCGCCGGCCACCAAAGTAAATATGTCTGTGGGATTTAAAGATAGGAAGAGTTCATGAGTCACTGGATATATGGCCATCACTGTTAGAGATCTAACCTGGGCAGTTTTATACCGTAGACTGCCACAGAGATCGGCCACTTGGAGGAAGCTAGATATTTACATTTTTTGGTCTTTTGTTTAAGTCCAAATCACAGAAAGCTGCTGTGTGTGCGATGAGTGTAACTTAGCCTGAAAAACCCTGTCATGTAAACATGTGAATCAAGAGGAAAGCTTATTATTTCTCATGAAAACTGGACAACAGGATGCGAGTGATCCAGCAGTGGGTCAAACACAATGAACTAGAGAGGAAGACAAAGAACGTGTGTGTGTGTGTGTGTGTGTGTGTGTGTGTGTTTAAGGGATCCTCGCAGACCCCTGGGCAGAGTTACTCTCTCTTCCTGTCTCCTTCCTGATCTCCTGCTGCTCTCTCTATATGACAATAGCCATCCCAACATACCCATTTGGATGGTTAATGGCCGAGTTTATTTATCCTATTGCTGTCGTCACACATCCAGCACTGACAGTAAGCAGGAGCGGTTTCACTTAGGTTGACAGAATCACTGCAGAACTACTGGAACAACTATTCAAACAGTCATTTAGACATGAAAGCAGGGGTGACAGACCAAACACAGAAGACAGGCAGAGTGCAGAGGAAGTCGGAGCATCCATGCTTGTACAAACGTTCTTTAAAGAAGCTGTTGGTTTGCATCACTCCTCAGCTGCGTTGCAGTTTAGCCTGAAATCAAGACTGTAACTGTAGGACTTTTGCAATCGTAGAAAACTTTTTTTGGATCGAGACGAACGTTATCTGTAGGTGATGATTGAATACAGGAACTTCACCAACTTGAAAGATTCCCAAATATCCCAATAAGGGAAAAACGAAGGAACGGTTTTGCGCTGCTTTTTCCAGAAAACATTACACCTACCCCTCGGTCTGCCAAGATCATCAGACTGTAACACAATGGAAAGCTGACAGCACTTCCACTTGAGCAGATGGATGTAAACTGACAGGTGTGGCCATTTATCGTTGGTCAAACGAAAGAAAAGTAGCTCTCTAAATTGTACTTTCTTATTTTTAATCAGTTCATACTGAACTGTATTTGTGTGTGTAACTCCACTGTAATGTGGAGTCTCCGCTGCGGTCCACAGCGCAGCGTATCAAGTGGCACAATGTGCTTATTATGCATTATGACCCTCTCTCACAGATGTGACTTTGGCAAGTGGGTGAATGTGCCCCGACACGTAACCGTATGTGCACAAGATGCTGATAAGGAGTCGCCCATCGAACATGTGCCGCATGTATGCATGCCTGTGTCTACGTGAGTGTGCGTGCAGCTGGGTGTCCGTACCCACAGTAGGCTAATCCCCTCATATCTCGGCAGTCTTGTTTTTACAGTAAACTAAAACATTGCACAACTGCAGACCGTTTGTCAACTTGGCCGTTACACCCAACGTGGCTTTGTTAGGAAGAACATACCGATCGGCTCATATGACCCCCACAACTTCCTATTGTATTTAGGATGGTGGAAAAACTGTTATCCAAGCTGTGGCAGACTATGAAACATGAGCACAGGGGAGGTGAAACGCAAGAAGATGCGATCGTACCTCCAAGGTGAAGTGCAGGCAGGGGCTGATGCTGAGCACTTACAGTACGTGACTGTCCCCTCTGTTATGTATGGTTGACATAGACGGGTCAAAGTCTGTTGTGAGTTGGAATATGCTCCTTCCAGCACTGCAGACTCTGTTGTGTGAAAATACAGCTTAAGCATCTAATGTCTGCTTGATTATAATCAGTTCTTTTTGTCAATATGGGGCTCAAGATCATTTAACAGAGTTACTCACAGATTTAAAAGAAAACTTAAAAAGAAAATCAGATTTAGTAAACTTGAAAAAAGATGAAACAACTGTTTTTTTTAATCATGCGGATTTCACTGAACTTTGGGAAGTGAAGAGAAGATAAAGATTTTATCCCAATTCTGCATGAGCCAAAATTATAATTGAAATGGAAGTTTATAATTGACTGCACTCATTTGCGAAACGTGATGAATTTGCTACCAAAAAAGAAACAACTGGTTCCTGCTTTGAAAAGGTGAAAAGCTGCTGCTTTTGTCCAGTTCATATACCGTATTTTCCGCACTATAAGGCGCACTTACAATCCTTTAATTTTCACAAAAATCAACAGTGCGCCTTATGTATGAATTCTGGTTGTGCTTACTGACCTCGAACTGATTTTATGTGCTACACGGTGCACAGAAATCTGTCAAAACATGTTTTACTACGACTTTGGTAGCTACGAAGCTGCACCAGATTGTCGGTGCATTACGGCTACCATAGCCAGGAGCCTCGCGGAGGAATCTGGGTCCTAAACTCCATCCGTTCAGGTCCCAAAGTCAAACGAACACTGCGGCATCACTGAGAGTTAAAAACTGTCTAAATTCTTTCATCTTTAATAAAATGATCAGCGTTGCTGTTTTACCAGGTGTAACAATTAAGTTTAACATCCAGGCATCCATGAAAACAGGATTTATTACATTTAACAGAGTTAGAAGTTAACAGGAAGTTAGCTCGCTAGCTTCCACCTAAACATGATGTAGCATGTTCTGACTGAGAGATTTCTGAAAAATTAAAACGTACAGCTCTGCTGTCACTTCCAACATAAATGAAGACAGAAAACTAAACAGCAGTGACGTTTGTAGGGTTACTGA